ATTCTACTTAGGTCTTGTCAGACTGCAGTCTGCGACGGTGCCCTAATCTGTCCTGATAGCAAGCCGACCAATTAAGCAGACAGTCTTCATAGGAAACATTACAGCCAGCAAAACACGTTCATCCCAAGGAGGGGAACTTACCCCGCCGAAGAATCCGCCATGTGATGATCAGCGAGCGAAGCGACATCGACAACATCCTGCAAACACTCAATTACTCTGCGAATGACTTCCGATGATCGTGACCTAAGGACAAAGCCGGGGATGCTTCACGCGCTAGCATACGAAGGTCTTCAGGTTCCAGTACAAACGCATGTCAATCTTATTACTGCTGCGGCTGCAAGTCCAGTGACGCATTCCCACAAACGGCAGCAAAGCGCACCAGGGCATGGCACATTGTTCCAGGAGAAGCTACCACAACCAAAGAAATACATAACAAAGCGTCCAAAGTGCAAAGGAAATAGTGGACGGGAACAATTCGACAACCCCACTGGGTTCTGGTAGACCGAACAGCATGCATTCAATGTCACGAATCGGACATTTGAATACGATCATCTCAGTGCGGCGTCCTATTGATGCCAGTGGTGCTGCAACTTGAAATTGACACGTTCTTGACGTCAACCTCGCCGAATTTGATTGTTGGCCTGCGACACAGCAACAGCAGTCGGCCTCCGTCCCCACGCACAAAACATCAAGGAGAAGATACACAAGTTGTTGAATGACCTCATGAGTAGCCCGGAATGCCTGTTTCTCCAATGCCTCGCCGCATCAAACGCTTCCGAGTGCTGCTGCCCGACCCCCAAGTGCAGCCCAGTATTCTCGCACCAGAGCCGGGTCGCGGGCTCTGGCTGCACCTTCGCTGAGGCTGGACGTCTCGGCGGACCCCTCCCATTCGACTGTGAAGCGAACGTTGGACCTTTGGCCCTTTTTTCCGCTGAGATGATGAGTGGTAATCTTCAACAGGTACTACTTGTTGCTGTTGTCGCCCAGTACAGCTCGGCAGTCATGAATCTTTGTGTAGGCGGCCCACATGTCTGGGGCGTCTTGCTGTATTATTGCCTCCGGTTCCCAAGTTTTGTCCCATGTCTTTCCATCGGATGGCTCCCAATCGATCTTGAGCTGGACTCGGGTGTCGTCGTCAGGGTCGGCTCGGTGTCCAATGATGCCCTTGATCCCCCACTCTCGCTGGTCGTCGAGATCGTCGAGATCGTCGCGAACGCTGCCCACCTCCGGATGGGAGCTGGTCGTCGATGATTCATCGAGGGATGCGGACAGTTCGTCTTGGTTGGCTGTGCTCTCGGATGGGGCCGGGCTAGGCGCCATGGCAGCGGAAGAAGGCTGCTCAGGAGGTGTCGAAATCTGGAGGAACGACCTGAAGTTAGCTTGCGATGCCAATCAGGAACGAAGATTTGATCGGACCATGTCGTCGCTAGGAGGAGCCATTTTGGCATTAGGCGAGCAGAGAAAGACTGCTGGAATTCGAACGACGACGTTTCCGATGGAAACTTCAAGAGACTGGTGTCCCGAATGAGGCCCTGTTGCGGCGTGAAGGACTGTGGACGTTGTCGCCAGAAGAGAGAGGACTTGTTGCAAAGTGCAAGTCAAAGATGCGGGAAGGTGTTGTCGCGGGGATGTTAGCGGAGGGAAAGACTCGACCCCATCGACCTACTGCGATGAGGCGCAGATTCCCGCATCCTGCACCTTCCCAGAGAGCCGGGTGCGAACACAGTCAATTTGGAAGGGGACGTCGCTCTAACAGTGGCTCGGCGCGAACGATCCGATCTTGGCGGCCGTGAAAAGTCCCAACTTCGCGCTAAGGTAGGTACCTAGGTACCTCCCATTTTCGCTCTTCCTACCTACCTACCTTGATATCTACCCAGGTGGGTGGCGGCAGGCGCGTGGGGTTCCAGCTGCGGGAGGAAGGAGCTGGCGGGCCCAAGGTTGTGTGCCACACAACCTGTGCGCACCACCAACTCTAGCCAGTTATGTCAGTTGTCTGGCATACAAGCTATGCGCCACAGAGGGACCGACAAGTCGCCTTCAATTTCCCACATTCAAAGGAGCCGCCGACCCTATTCCTGTCTTAGACGGCACGCATGAGGGTGGGAGAGCAGAGGCGCCATGTCCACGGGTAGCTTCATCCGCTCGAAATTCAACGCACTCGTGGGGCCAGTCAAATAGCTAGTAGCCGTTTGTGTTTTCCTGAGGAGTACCTCGGGAAAATTGTTTGACGGCTCTGGGGTCGGTACGGAATCCGTCCGCGGTATGGTGCACGTCGCGTCGCGTGGGCGGCACGATAGACGGTGCTCCAACGCAAGCACTCGCACGCCCTTCGCAATAGCTGCAGCACCAGATGTCACCAGTGATGGCAAGAGCTTGGTTCACCACATCAGTACCCCGTCTAAGTACCTTCCGGCGAAGGATTGGATGAGATGCGGGAGGACCATATGGGCAGTCGCAGATCTTGTACGCACCTACCTACCTTATTCCGATGTCCATGGATGTGCGAACCTGCCTCGTGGTGATTGATACCTCCTTCCTAGGAATTGTGGCCACCCTGCTCTGGAATGTGCAAGTGTGATGAAGAATAACACGGCCAACTGGTATGCCTGCCACCACATCTCCTCCCCTGTTCGGCGGGCAGGGACCAACTGCCGATTTCAGCACCAAAATCTGAGAACTTTTCCATCAGACCGGCCCAAATTTCTCGACAGGATCAATCAAAAGGCTTGCCCACGATCGAAAGCACCCGAAACGCATTTCAGCCATCAAGTCCGTCGGCGCAGTCGGCACAGTCGTCGCGACCGCCCGAAAGACCCCATCCAATCTGAAGCCTCCGGTGCTGTGTCCGGCCCGCACGTTTGGGCGGGAAGCGGGCCGATCCACCCACACCCTCGACGCCCTCGACGCCCTCGACGCCCTCGACGCCCTCGAATACGAAACCCAACTCGCCATCTCCCCCGACGAAATCCATCGTCCATGTTGACTGCTGTTTCGTTGGCTAGATGAACGACAGAGCATCATATTTCGAGCTGTGGATTGAGCGAGCGGGACATCCAAGGAGGCACCCGTGTGTCTAGATCCCCGCCAAGTGGATTGGGCCAAAACTTCAACCCCCAAGCCAAGGGGCCCTCTGCGCAGAACAGGTGCCCCACCCTTCCATTGCCCAACGCATAATCCAGTGTCCCAGGTCCTGCCCGGGGATGTGCTGACTGTCCGCCTGAGGAGCTCTTCTAGAAGCAGCATAGCACCCTTCGAGCTGTGTTGCAACCCGATCTGCATAAATCTCGAGCTGAATGTCGTCACCGCCTCCAATATTACACCGAACCAAGACGAAACATTGTCGTCCATCTGAAAAACACCTCATTCTAAGGATCACATTTCGAAAAACATCCCCTCCCTCCAACGTGCTGAGCGACGGACGGCGGTTCCAACTAGAAATTCCTCGACGCCCACACAGATGATGTTCCTGCCCCCGCAACACCACTTTTGCGTTGATTTGTCCCAATTTATGGCATTGGTATAACAACGAATCACGGTTACCTTTCAGTACAAGACACTTCTCTCTGCTCCGAATGAAACATATGGGTGCTGCGCTGGCACATTTGTTGCCGAACCCACCTGCACCAAGCGCCTGACTGGAGATGCCCCGAGCCCACCGAGCCCTCTCCAGTTTGATGCTGACAAGGCACGGCAACCGCTGACAGGGAACGTACGATGGCGTTGAAGGAAAAATAACAAGAAGGATAAGGTACATCTGCACAGGCCCGAAGAGTCTTGGGCAAATACAACCAAGCTGCCCAGTGCGAGCCCCTAGCCCGTGCTATGCCCTGGTCTTGAGGACCTGAAAACTCGATGGTTGGATGCAATCAATCCGCACAAATGCACTTTTTCTCCTGCTGACTCCCTTCTACCATGTCTTCGTCCCGGATCAAGACCCGTGCCGCTTTTTCTGTCTTTTGTGTACATATTGCCATCTAATGTCCCGACAAGAATGGGTGTTTGTACTCCAAGCTCTCTCCCAATTTGCCCATCCTGATCAACAAGCCTTTGTTGGCTGGGCAAGCCTGCGATGCGCTCCAGTACGATAGCCCGGCTCAGGCTACGGGAAACTCCAGTAATGAGAACACCTTTGCTCGAAATTCAAAGTTAGACGGGCCGATGGCTGGTTAGGGGCTGCAGTGCTCAATATTTGTCATGTCGCAGCAAGGGCTTGTCAGTTGCAGTGCATCCCACGGGGCGGTTAGTTACTGGCCTGGTCCTTCGAGATATTACTAGGGACAGCCCAAGGGGCCGGGAAGAGGGGCTTGACGACTCGGGCGTAAGAGTTGAACGGAGAAAGACGCGGTGCTTCTCCGAATTGGCGTGCCATCCACATCCAATGCCATCGGAACGATTCACCCACGATTAACACACGCATCATGGCCCATAACGACGGTTTCGTGTGGTACCCGATTGCCATGGCCTCATTAAAGACTGGGTTTTCGGCAACTTTCTGCGGCGTGGAATACGATATGAGGCAACTCACATTGCCGCTATCTCCGTTGTTTCCGGCTGAAAAGAAGATGCATTCATCTCGCAACAGCTTCTCCCATTGCATCAATAACACCGCTTCTACCATCTTGAAATCAGACCTGCCGCCTCCTCGACTCAAAATGCCCCCCCAGGCCACCCCAGAACTACGCCGCCTGGCAGATGGCCGCCAAGGCTCCCCGCTTGGAGATCAAAGAGGCCACCCCGCCGCGTCCGAGATCCTGATCCGGAACCGAGCCGTAGCCGTGAACTATGTCGAGCCAGCCCTGCAGACCCTCGGACCGTACCTGTTCCCCTGGGTGACGTACCCGCAGATCTTCGGAAACGACATTGCCGGCGAGGTCGTCGAGGTGGGGCTCGGTGTCGAAGCGTTCAAGCCCGGGGACCGCGTCGTGGCCCACGCCATCAACCTCACCAACAACAAGCCCTCCGAGGGGGCCTTCCAGCTGTAGACCATCGTGTCGCACTTCATGGCCGCCCCCATACCCGACCGCGTCTCCTATGAGCAGGCGTGCGTGCTCGCGCTGGCGTTGTCGACCGCCTCGTGCGCCCTGTACCAGAAGGACCAGCTGGCCCTCGAGCTCCCCGCCGTCCCCGCCCGGTCCAGCACCGACAAGACCGTCCTCCTTTGGGGCGGCGCGTCGAGCGTCGGATGCTGCGCCGTCCAGCTGGCCGTCGCTTCCGGCTACGAGGTCGTCACCGTGGCCTCGCCCAAGAACTTCGGCCTCCTGGAAACGCTGGGGGCTGCCAGCGTGTTCGACTACCACGCCGCGGACGTCTTCGAGGAGCTCGTTGGCGCCCTTGCTGGAAAGGACTGCGCCGGCGGGCTGGTCACCGTGCCGGGCTCCCTGCGTGACAACGAGGTGGGCCGCGCCGTATACTCGGATTTCCTCAGCAAGGCCTTGGCTGCCGGGTCATTCGCCTGCGTCCCCGAGCCGTACGTCGTTGGCGAGGGGCTGGAAAGCCTGCAGAAAGCGTTCGAAGTATGTAGAGAAGGGGGTCTGTCGGCAAAGAAGATCGTGGTCACCTTAGCCTAATACAGATACTACTACTCTATATCAGCCAGCCTCCCCTCTCCTGAAAAGCATAAGCAACAGCCTTGGTCGTTCGTATGGTCGTACTTAGCTGGTCATGTCCAGATGAATACAAGAAAATACCTGCCACTATATTCAGCTCGTCTCGATTTTTAAGAAGTAAGCGATACACTCCAGCCCCTGGATGTGATGAGGGCCGGCAATCTTGTAACAGAGAATCTTGTTACCCTCAGCATACAGACCTCAGTATTTCTTAATGACAAGGGCGGCCAGAGAAAGGAAGTCAAAGGTCTTGATAGCCTGCAGGAGATCCTCAAGCGCCGTTGGATAGGTCCAGGCTTGGGGACCGAGGTGGGGACCGAACGCTTCCACCACGAGCGGATGGGGAGAAGTATACAACGACGGTTAACTATCTTGTCAAAGTTGTTGCCGTATTACCGCCGTCATATGTCACTTGCACTCATGGAACTCTTCATGGATCCAAATACGCGCTGTATGAAGCTCCTGCGTGTGGGCTTGCGTCGTTTCAACGGGAACGCGTGAACGCCAGGTTTGACTGTGCTCAACCCGCCTGGTCTTCCGAGGAGGTTCTGATAATGCCGCCGATTGACCAGGACCCCCGCGTTAGAGGAAGAAAGTCAGTGGTCTAGCACTCAGAATTCACGGGGTAGGGTCCGCGGACACCTCCGCCTTTATGATTCCCCAAGCCTAATAAATGATATCACCTGGACAGGAATCCCTAATATAATTCCCCTGCTGGGCCTAGCACTATGCCTAAACATCAACCGAAACGGAAGCGAGATCACTTTTGGGGGTTTATCACTCGCGAAGATAGCTCCCTACTTCACACCTGCAGACATATGCTTTAACGAAAATATCGGGAAGTGCACCTAGGCAAAAAGCATGCCGGGGTTTCCTGCTTCCAAGTTACAATTCGAACTATATTGACAACCCAAACCTAACCAACTATGAAAGCTCGAAACGAGGAACTAAAGAGAAACAATGAGATAAGAGGCCATACTTCTGTCCCCATCTTCCCTTTCCCTACCATTGTTTGTGTCCCCATTGTCCAGCATAAACTCAAAAACATTAAAACAACAGCCAAGAATAACACTGACACATGAATCCAACTAAAATAAAAGAGGAAAACACAAAAGGAAAAAAATAGATAAATAAGAAAGGGGGACATTTTATGATGCTTTAAAAAGTCATCAAAGGTCATGGTCTAGTTTGACTGCTGTTCGAGCGGTTCCCACTCAAGTTTGAAGATGGGCTTCGTGATCTCCTCGGCCTCCAAAGTCTTCTGGTTGTTCTCGTCCCGCATACTGCCGGCCCAGAGCGCAAACTGGGCCTTCTTATTGTCGGCCTTGTTGTCATAAAAGAGCCCGAGCTTTCCGCCGGCCACGTTCATATTGATGGCAAGACGCATCTGAGGGGAGTAAGGTTCGACATGGATCTTGACACCAGGCAACTTCTGGAGAATTCTTTCTTTCATTCCTTCCACTTGGTCTGTTACAAAGCGCAAGCTGTTTAGCAAACGAAACTTTACAGGGCTGGGATCAATGGGAACGTGATATTACATACCGTGAAAGTAAGCAGGTTCCTTCGCCTGGATCTGAGGGGCATCGGTTCGAGCTCTCGTGTAAATGATGACATGCGTTTGCTTAAGGCTGTCCTTGGTAAACCATTGTGGCAAATGATCATATTCCCTCAGGACCTGGTTGCGAAAATCTTCATGGGTTGTAATGGGTTTCTTTTGTCGCTCCAGCTGCTCCCTGTGGGTCTTGTCGGTTTTGAAAGAGCTATCCCAGTGATGAATCTATATCAAAGAAGAAAGTAAGTATATTTTCCAGTTTCGAGGAACATGGATGATATGTTCAAACACCAGGGGCTTCGAGGTTTGGGTTTTGGTTGACTTACCATCCACGCTGATTCGTGGTTGACGATGACAACAGCAGTACAACCGAACAGACCAGGCATGATCATCGTGATCTCCTTATTAGCAAGGTCATAGTGGCTGCCGCGAGTTCCGCCGCTTGTCATCGGCGGATCGGTGTCTACTGGTAACTCGGCATTTGTGGGGCCGAGCAGAAAATGGTTTTCCGGTTTCTTTAGGGCGTTGGCAAACAATCCATCAACGGATTTGCCCGCTGGGAGCTGGAATAGGTTACCCGCGCGCTTGGAGAGGCGGAGGCCCTCACCGGGCGGGGCGATCTCGTCGCTGGCCGTCACATTGTAGGTCAGGCCCTCTGGGTCGTTGTCATCGGCATCGAGGACGCCGCGGAGCGCCAAGTCAAGCAAGTCGTCCCGTTTACCAAAGGCCTTGCAGGTCTGACCGCACGTCTTCCACGAGCAGTCGATATCATCGGCCTCTCCTGTAGAAGTAGGCTTGGTGCTGGTAGTTGTGGTACCCTTGGTCTTCGTGGTCGTGGTAAGCTTGGTGTTGGTAGTCGTGGTTACCCTAGCCTTCGTGGTCGTGGTAGTGGTACCCTTAGCCTTCGTGGTCGTGGTCGTGGTAGGCTTGGTGGTCGTAGTCTTGATGCTCGTAGTCTTGACAGTCTTGCTACTCTTAATGGCCCTTTGACCGCCGCCCGGGAGGCTGTCGTCGATGCCTCTACCGTTGTGGGGTATTGCCGAGACAAGGGCTCCGAGGAGCAGGAAGGCGGTGGTGCATTGTTTGAGCAACATCTTGAAAGAGTGACAGGTGAAAGAAGGGAGTGTGGGAAATTTTCAAAGGAGTGCCAAGCCCAGCCTGTTGTGGTTGGTATTGTGATGCTTCTTGTGTAGACTCTGAGACTTATTCGACCTTGAAACTGGTACCAGGGCTCTCTATATGTAATCCTTTTGCAGCCATACCAGAAGAATAGATCGGATGTTCCGAGGGAAGTCAGACGGCCCCCAGTTGCAGCCCCCAGCGCATGAAAACAATGCTGGACGATTTCCGCCCCAGCAGCGCCAATGCTTTGTAAGATACAGGATCGATCCGCCATGGTCAGACAGCCGCCAAAACTCCGTGGATAGTCTCAAGAACCCCAAACCGCCCGACTGAATCAATACGAAGAGTGTCGGATCTTAATTAAAATCGCCTAGCCCCCAGGACTCTGTGGACGACTTCGAGGATGTCTAATCCATTTTTGCCGTACCGCATCACCCCCGCCCCCTTTTTTGTTTTCTTTTTTTAAGAGAGAGAGAGAGAGAGAGATGCTTGAGGGTTGTGCGTTAACCTGCCACTCCGTACTCTGTGGTCATTTTGATCTCGATATTCTCGTCGCCTTCTCATTGAATTCATCACGCTACTTCCTAAGAGCGGATGCTGCATAGGCAGATATCAAGGGGCTGTCATCCATCTGCACGTCGATCCTCTAAACGCAGTGATAGGGCGTTTTGAATTAGAATTCCGGTCCTCTTTGCGTTGTTTAAACCGTAACAGCTTGGGACTTCTCTCGGCGTCTGCCACGAATGGACTATGGACACGGAGTAGGTGTACATCTACGGTATACGTGACACAGTTTCATTCAGTATTCTGGCTTCTCATGTTAGCCTGGTCAACCACTTTGTCTCAGGATCAATAAGTGATGACATCCAGTTGTCCCAGAAGAGACATGTTACTCTGTTATCCTTTGTTGTATTGTCGTAGTGTGGAAAAGGTGGCTCGGTATCTAGCTATGTCCGCGAGCCGACTAAACCTACGCTGCCTTTCCCGGATCAAGCAATATTTTCTCCATCAACAGGAGGCTAGCTAGAGGTGTTCTTGTAGTAAATCGCAGATCCAGCCCTAAATATTCCATCTCATTACTGTTCCCATTCTTGATTCTACCTTCTCTTGAATAAATAGTCACATGACGCAACACCTTGGAATCATACTGTTTGCTCGCTTTTCTTGTTCTAAATGCGTCTAATTAGCTGGTACTCTAGCAGTAAATCAGTAGTTCTTTGCATCTCACCATCCAATTCTCGGGCCTTTGCCTCCAACAACTTCCAAGCCTCTTTGTAGTACTTCTGGGAAGTTTCGCCATTGCCGTATGAGTGTATGTCTGCAAGCTCGATGGCGTTATGTTTCGGCGAATGTATATTTCCGGCCCGCACTCGAGGGTCTGCCCCATTGTCTAGAAGGAATTTCACGAGATCAATGTCGTCCATGCGGTTCGTCTTCTGATTGTAGTTCATCGGATAGTCCAGGATCTCCATTAGCGGGGTGCTGACCGTGTCCTTTGGGTAGGGCGGATCCATGGACGGTTTGTACACAGCGTTGATATCATAACCTTCGTCGACGGCCTGCTTCGCCCAAGCCAGTCGCTGCTCAATCGAGTCTTCGTTCCATGCGAGGTGGTGGAAAGGGAATGGGGTGAATCGGAAAGGTTTGAGTTGTTTTTTGTTGTGCTCTGCCTCTTGTTCCATGGCTGCTGTGTCCTTGTTGTGCTCTCCCTCTTGTTTCATGGCCGCTGAATCCATGGCTTTGGACAGATGAACAACAGCTTGGATCGTGTGGAGCGTTTCGCGTCACTGTCGAAAAGACAACCGACTGTATCTTATGTCCGCGGATTGCGACCGGCGTGGTCCGAAAATGACAAGTTGCGTGTATGATTGTTTGACGCAGGTCCCCGCGTCGAACTTTTAGGCAGTTGCGTGAGTACTTCACCGTGACGTAAGATCAGAGCAGGCCGCATCACCTCAACCCGACAGCCTGGGTCGGGGGCCAGCGTGTTAACTCGGCGAGTCTTGGCTCGGGGGCGACTACTCGCCCGGGAGGGCTGGCGGCCGTTCGCTAGGCGCCTTGGGGCCTTTAGAGACTCACCACCGCTGGGTTTTGTGGGTCTTCTGCCTGCCAGCCGCTAAAAATAACCCGCGCCGACCCTACCAACCTCCCTATTACCCTGGGCCGGCAGGCCTGCCTGCCAGCCTGCCTGATGTTGTCGAATTGGGGGTCAAAATGCGTGAAGCGATGTGGCTTTTCAGCTGTCCTAGCGCCGGGCCGTCCCTCTCTTACTCCCCAGCCGCTAGGT